GAGGAGGAGGACGGCGAGGGGGAGAATGGATTCACGAGCACAGCAGCCGCGGCGGAGGCTGCAGACGCGGCCAGCTTCATCGCAGGAGGAGGCTGCAACATAATTTTAGTCACTGGCAGTAATGGGATCAAGCACGACGAGGAGGAGTACGCAGAGGACTGTTATTATTCTACCTCCACTAACTGCTCTGATACCGCCTCAAACGATTCGGATATTGATTTCTCCGATCTGGAGGAGGAGGAGCGCAGGAGTTTTTTCAGCTTTGAAGATGACTTGGACGAGGACTGCACTTCTCCCGACTTCTGGGGCGAACCTGACCAGGTAATTTCAATCGAACCATTCTCCGCTGTCAGCGGCCCTCAGCACTCGCTGGGGGACGATGCTGACACCCGTGACTATTTCCGGATACTCTTCCCAGATTCTCTTTTTGAACACATGGTAGAACAAACAAACAAATACGCCCTCTATCGGCAAAGGAGGAGTGGAAAATCAGACCCAAACTGGCACCCCACTGATGTCAGAGAGATGAAAGCTTATGTAGGTCTGAACATTCTTATGGGCATCAACCAGCTTCCAGATACTGGCATGTACTGGGCCAGTGACATCTTCATAGGGAATGCAGGCTTTAAAAAAACTATGACAGCCAGGCGCTTTGAAAAAATCACCCAGTATCTGCAGCTGTGTGACCGTGAGTCTGAGCCTGTGCGTGGAGAGCGTGGATATGATGGCCTCTTCAAAGTCAGGCCTCTCATTGATGTGGTGGAGAACACCATGTGGGACGCGTACACGCCCAATCGCTGTTTGACCATAGACAAGTGTGCCATTGTGATGAAGGGACGTTTCTCCCCCACCCAGTACATGCCCTCCAAGCCCCTGAGGAAAGGGCTGACAGTGTGGATGCTGTGTGACTCGCGCTCGGGCTACTGCCACCGAGCTAAGATGTACGTAGGCAAGCCCAGTGACGATGAGGCAGCAGCCGCCCTGGGCTACAGAGTGGTGACCTCTCTAGTGCGTGGCCTGGAAGGTCAGTACCACCATCTCTTCATGGACAGCTTCTTCACCTCAGTGCCCCTCCTCCAGCGGCTGCTGAGGGATGGACTATATGCCTGTGGGCCCACCCAGCCGGGGCGCAAAGGTTACCCAGAGGTCCTCCGCCCCCGTAATGTCGGAAAGCTGTCCCAGGGTGAGTTCTACCAGTGCCAGCGTGGCAACCTGGTTGCTTCGGTGACACGGGATGTCAAGGTGGTTAGCTGCCTCTCAACCAACTCTGCTCCAGGGATTGTGGGTATCAGTCCAGGCCGGCAGCAGCGTGAGGCAGACGGGGAGGGTGAGAGTGACAGCATGGAGAGCTCAGGTCTGTCTTTCGGTGTACCTCGACCGCTGCCCTTGCTTTTGTATCAGGAGAACATGAGGGGTGTTGACCTGTGTGACCAGCTGAGGGAATGCTACCAGGTTGGCAGGCCATGTAAGAAGTGGTGGCGCTACTTCCTGTGGTTCTATGTCAATCTGTGCATTGTCAACGCCTACATCATCCTGAGGGAGAGCCGAGGGGGCACGCCACCAGCAGGCTTCAACGGCAAGCATTTCACCCAGCGCCACTTCCGGGTGCGCCTGGCGCAGCAGCTCATTGGAGACTACCAAGGGGCAAGGGGCATGGAGCGGGCAGCACGCAAGAGACACGCAGATTCACCCATAGAGTACGGACACCGCCTGGAGCGCATGTCAGAGCGCTCTCGTCGCTGCAGGAACTGCACCAACAAGGGACTGCGACATGAAAGTGTGTTCGGCTGCAAGATATGCAATGTCCACCTATGCAGGGGAGGATGCTTCTCTGAGTTTCATAAATAAAATTGAACAGATTTTTCCTTTTATATCCTTTGTGTAATCAAACAACTTGTGTCAAGGGATTTTTTTAAACAGTAAAACTATTTGTAATTCCAAAGGTTACCACTTCAAGTGCACAATATAGTCACACACTTTATGTAGAGCTAGTTTTAGGATAGAAGTATTATTGCACGTATCATAGAGAAAATAAACTGAGAAAGTGTCGGTTATTTGAATTAGTATAGAATGTTTTGGCAACTTGCCTTCTGTAACACTGACAGAATTGCCTTGTGTCACTTTTTTTATACATTTAAAATAATGAGAAGGATTTTATATGAAAAAGAAGAAATCAAACTTTTCTGCACTTACAATAGAACAGAAAATGTTTACTATGGGAAGTTTATCTCTCTCCTTTTCCAAAATAAAAACTTCATTATGATGTACTTAACCGAGTCACCTGTTTCTTTGTGTGGTATTAAAGCATGGACAAGAGGGAAAACAATGTTAATGAAATCTGAGCATGAAATAAATCTGGTTTGAAATAGGTTCAGCTTTGGTTGCTTCTTACAAACACATTACAAATTTGTGTGTCTCTGGGCCTTCAAGGGGACACAGCTTGGAGCAATTAGAGAGTAGAAAAAAGCCCCTCAATGCTCTTCAGCCAACAGACCGAGTGATGCCATTTCTTTCTCCAACCGCACTACAGACACAGAGCCATCTGTGACTCTATTACACTGGGTCCAAACCCAAAAAGTGGTACTTGTTACTGACATGATTGGAAAACAGAAGAAAGATGGCAGAAACACATTTTTTGGGGAGAAGAATCTTCAAGTCTGATTTGGTTTGACCAAGAAGAAAGAATGAGGACATTCATTTGAATCATGTAAATCAACGTGTACACATTTAGCTAAATGAGTGTGTGCTGGATCAAAGCTTTTCCTGCAATCCCAGGAGAGGCGGACAGTTGGAATTAAGAAATATTTGTGTTAAACGGAATGTGTTTTTTCGTCAGTTCTTCTCTGTCGACTCTGATATCAGGCTAGCAAGCTCAAGGCTGTATGTAGGCACAGATAGGCCGCTTCAGCAAGTCAGACTAGCCGTCTCCTTCTGAGTTCTCTCTCCTTCCTCCCCCTCTCTCTTTAGCACACTGTCTATCTTCCTCTCTCTCTCTCTCTCTCTCCCTCCTCAGGGTCTGCTGTGCCATCCTACACATTCACACACACACATACACACACACTCACATATTACACACACACACACACCCTCCCTCCCCCTTCACTCTGCTCTCTTGCTCTCCCTCAGCAGTTCCCCAGCTGGGAGAGGGTTAGTCAACTGGACGGCCGTCCCGCTGATCTGCGGGAGCCCCTTTGGGGAGTTACCATGGCAACCATGGCCAATGAAGACAGGGAGTCGCCAGCAGGCCCGCGTGGTTGTCATGGTACTCGCTCTGGCTATGGAGGTGGGAGGTGCCAGAGGCCACACCTCCCTACCCCTTCTCCAAAACCAGGCAAGGCTGTGGTGTGTGTGCGTGTGTGTGTGGAGGGAGCTGGCTGGTTGACAGCCTGCACACTGTACACGGAGCCAGACTGGTTACCAGGCAGGCTTTGCTACAGCACAGCCAAGACTACAACTGCTGCCAAAAATGAACTGAATGACATGAAACTGCTGCTCTGGAGACGTCTTCATGCAGGTGTAGGGTTCAGGGATTCAGGGAATGTGTCAAAGTCGGTTCTGTATAATAGCAAACCATCCTGAAAGTTTCCATTCTGTTTTATTGGAGACCATGAACCACACTGCTGCTTTGCAGACATCATCCTGCAGGTGTAGGAGGCATAATTAGCTAAATCTGCAGAGTGTACTATGCTACATCTAACTACGCTGCAAATTTCTGTTCTGTTCTAGTCAATCATACAGTGTTTAGAGACTCTGTATTTTCCATTTCTCCAACATTTGCTGAGTTACATCAATGGCCTTAAATCTTTCTCTACCCACACTGTCATTATACTATCAATGTTATTACAGTTCCTTACAATGATTGATACATTAAAAGCAGTTTTTAGGAATTTTTGACATATTATTTGAATTCAATTTTGTGTGTTTCCACTCAAATATTAATACATTTTCTAACAGGCTCAAGTGACAGATGTTGACAGGTCAATTACAGCAGCTGAAATGTGACTTTAATTATTCAATTCCCATTCAACCTAATTCAATAGCAGTGCAGAGGACATGTACACCAGAACAATGGAATCTGAAGACTGTGCTGGTCACTATTGTGCTTTTGTATTATTAATGTTGAGAGTAGAGCATTGTCAATTTTATTCTCCCCTTTTGTGGGCTGAATGTGAAATCGTGAGGTCGTATTTGTGCGTCAGAACCAAACACTGTTCTCTCTCTCTCTGGCTGGGTGGGTGTGCTGTATCTGGTGTCACAACAACAGCCAGATCTAATGTTTCCAGGATGGATCCCAACCATAAAATTCTCAGCTCTCAACATGTTTCCCCTCCTGGGCAGGGAGAGATCTCTGAGTCTCTGTCAAGAACATGGGCCTGGTTTCACTTAAGAACCACTGGTTGGGTAACACATGTACTGCTGAATCATGAATGTGCCTTTGTTCAGTTCTTTCCTCTGTTGCAAAATGAGTCCATGTCCATGGACAAGGATGAGCGTGAGAATCCCCACACATCTAATCCTCTGTGCTTACTGATTCGTTGTTTGTCTCTTCGCCGCAGCGTTTGAATGTTCATCTCCCAACAGCCACGATTGTGAGGAGACGATGAATGACTTTTTAAATATAAATTGATCATATCTGTTAAAATTAATTAGCACATCATAAAGAAGCCCATCTTCACCTTCACAAGTTTATCTTATTAAAGGACTAGTTCACCACAACATCAACTGTCAGTTTTTTACATACATGCAGTGGTCTACAGGGTAACTAGTGAATTTACTAAAGTACTTTTCAGGTACTTGCACTAAACGTTTCCATTTTATGCTACTTTATGCACAACAATTCAGAGGGAAATACTGTGCTTTTTACTCCACAACATTTGACATGTGAAGTAACATGATTCAGAAAAAGATTTACATACAAACTTACAGAAAATGTATAAAATTGAATGCATGGTTAAAGATTAAACCAGTGTTGGCTTGTGGACCTTTTCAAAAAAGCAGTGTCTAGTTTGGGCTGCTTGTCATGTTTGATGTCTATGAGTTGTTAGCAGTTCCACCAAAGAGATACTTCCTCCCCTAAATGTCTCACATGGTTTCATTTAAATAACTGTTTGAGGCTCAAAGATCTAAAATTCTCCAGTATTTTACCGATAAAAGCAAAGATTAGAGAATATTCCCCAAAATGAAAACAGCAGTGTGTAGCTTTGTTTTTCATCCCTGCCCTATTAATCATCTTGTGATTCCTTAGCTTTATCTTGTGACCCTTACCCACCGGACTAAACTAATGTTAACTGTGGATGAAGTAGTTTAAACTAGTGTCACTTCAACCAGCTACAGCAGGAAAATCCTGTATGCATTAATGCATGAGCATTAAAAATCTAATAATGTAACAGATGATAATATGTCAGTCACGGGGGCTTCAGTATTTATCAAGAATGAGTACTTTTACATTCAATAGTACATTTAATTGATAGTATGTACTTTTCTCAGTTAAGATTTTAAATGTGGAGTATTTCAACATTATGGTAGATCAGAATATTAAGTACATACACTCAAATACACTCAAACAAATACACATTTACTGGTAGAATACTTCTACACATCTCCATCTAGTAGACAAGAGAACATACAGTGAGCAAAACTCTTGAGATAGTTTGAACTTCCTCAAGGAACATCCATTTATTTAAAAGTAGCTACAACGAACAGTGACTCTTGATCTAATGCACCGTTTTAACCAGGAAGCTTTCTAAACCAGATGGATCTCTTTGGTTTTTGTTGAAGTGGTTTTGGTGAACCCAACAGAATTACCAGAGGGAGTTTGATCTCGAGGTCTTTTGCCAGAGGGACATCAAGGGTGACCTGTAACCAAAGACACACAACTTTTAATAGCATTTTTAGTTCGTGTCTACCAAATGCCGGTGATAATCTAATCTAAATATACTCATTTTAAGTTTATATAATATCTATTATAATTCTGTAAAAAACAATGTTAATGTTATAAAGAAAGACATCTCACTGAAATCTTCCTTCCCTCTCGTCATTGTTCAGTTTGATTGCTCTGGCTCTGCAGTGTTTACTGAAAATACTGACCTAAACCTTTTTGAGCTGATGGCATGACAGAACAGGTTAGGCTGTAATGTGACACTTTTTCCAACATATACCTTCACTAGTTTGAAGACAATCTGTGAGGGCTGTTCCCTTTAACCCCTCCTTCTCTCTCGGGCTCTCCCTTTCCTACAGCCACAGTGTGGTGCTGTTGTCATCATGCATCCTCCTTTTCAGCATGGCAAAAAGTCTTACACAGATTTCTTTTTGCAGGCACCCTATATCTGAGCCAAGTGTATGTTTTTTTTCAAAAAGTCAGTCATTTACATCTTAAAATGACCCTGAAATCTAAAGGAGTTTCTCACTTTGCATCGACTCTTTACGGTTTATGAAAAATAAGACTACTCAAACGAGTGGGTGTGAGCATTTGCATTGCTTCATATACATACATAATTCAATTATGGCGTCAGTTGTGAGACACTGTTTACAGTGAATGAATCCCATTATACTGTATTTGTGAACACAATATAAATACCTTGAGTCTGTACTCGAGCTTCATCATGCAGCAGTTGAAGAAGGTAGGGGGGAGCTGTAGAGGGACACGCAGAACGTTGGTTATAGTCCGACTGGTGGCAGCTGGAACAGAGTCTCCTGTCCCAAACAGGATGTCATTTGTGTGTACTATCCTCTTTGACTGAGCAGCAAAGGTCTGCTTCTCGCACAGCCAGAATTTGGGTGTTACTGTACGTGCTGAGTCATTGAATACTTCTACAGAGACTCCCATTGCCTCACCTGTTTATATTGAGGAGACAAAAAACATCAGTGATGTTGCAGTTAAGGCAATTGAGAAAAATGTATTCTTAGTATAATCTGTTTACCTTGCTTTACTCCCATTTTTTCTGAGGTAACATTCATAGTAATCTTTTCAGAGCCATAAAATGAAATCCTGGTAGCATATTGTTGCTCCTGCCAAATAAAGACATAAGCTGTCAGGAAGCCAGATATCTAAATACCTGTTTGAGCTGGCATTAGCAGTATAGTATTTAAATGTTTGATACTGTTGACTGAGCTAAGCTATTACAAACTGAACAGGACAAGTGGAAACTAAAAGAAAACCCAAAGGAAAGTTAACTCCATACCTTAAGTCCGATGATTATCATTTCTGATTTGGAGGCAAAGGGGAACTCGGACTTGCTCAGAAAAGGGAACTCAGTCTTGGTTTTGTGGACAAGCCAGATTGACTGAGTCAGCTTTGCTCGCAAACTATATGTAATTTTGCCCCATCTCCCCTCATAAGATGAAGGCATATCTCTGTAACAAAATAATCCAAATAAATAAATAAAATAATGTAACTTGGTAAGGAAGTGCTAATGAGAAATATAAACTCCATATAAGATTAGCACACTCACGTCTTTGGAATCACAAAAGCGAATGGATACACATTTCTCCCAGGGCCAATCATTTCTGAACCTTGTAAAAAGAAAAACATTTTGTTAAATGCAATTAATCACTTTGTTTACAGACTAGACAATATTCATCAATTCAAAAGCTTTAAGTTATTTCTTTTGCTGTTTTTGGCACAAGAGAGAGACAACACTAACCATCTCTTTTGTTTTTATCCTGAAGAATAATATGTTCAAAATTAAAGTATTTCTTCTTGTCGCTGTGAACCCCTGTGGCTTGTCCTTCTTGTTCACACCATGTGACTTTAGCTTTTCCTTTGGCTTTTACCAAAAAACACTGCACTTTGGTTTCCTTGCTGGTCATCACCGTAACCCTTCCTGAAATTATGTCCCCAGGAGAGAAGGTCCCTCGTTCATTTACCTTGCTGTACTCCACCGAGAGATGCTTTACAGTCATGTTAGGAAAACATCAAATAACATTCCCAAAAGTGATGGAGCATGAAGAGGATCCTCCTTTTGTGCAAATTAAATCCCAAAAAGTGATTGGAAGAGGATTTGAAATGATACACATTGGTCTTGAAGTGGAGCCTTTCGTTGTTGAACAGGTATCAGGCAAGGCTGGCATACGCACTGTTGCAGTGGACTTCTCCAGAACCTGTATCTGTGTCACAGATGATCACGTGATTGTGAGCTGCAGGTGTCACATTCACATAGGTAACTCTAGCCAGCAGCCTTACAGGCTTCATTAGGGTAAAATGTGCAAATGAATTTGCATTCTCAAGTGAACACAATTGAAAACAATGTCTAAACCACAGTACAGCAGTGCATAATGTACTTTATCAAAAGCATATTTAAAAAAGTATGCCATTACTATAAATTGTTAGAAAACATTTATTATAAGTAGAAACAAACGAGGTAAATTTTGCTACTGACTCAGATAACATAATACACCACTGTGAGGGACAAAAGCAGTAAGGCAAAAGGAGTCACAGGTAAGTTTCAAGCGGAGGGCTTTTATTTCCCCAAAAATTAGTTACAACAAAATGAAGCTAAAGTTTGGGCCAGTTAAAAAGGTCAAACAACCAACCCATAACTAACACTCTGAACATAACAAATTCAACATACAGCTGACCTACAACAAAAGAAACAAAGTGGATTTATATTCTCAGACCAGGTTTGACAAACAGGGGAGACTAACAATGGAACATTACAAATTACACAGCCAATAACAACACAATTCAACCAAACACTTATTCAAAACAGTAAACATAAATTTACTTAAAATTATCCAAAACAAAAATACTTTATATAATGTAAATTAAGGACCAAAATATCTAAGAAAAGCATGAAGCTCCCCTCTGACATGATGGGGTGATAGTAGTGTCCAATTTGACCTCTCTTATATAGCAGCTCTTGCTCCAGGTTTTAAAGATGGCTGTGATCATGGCTGTGGCCATGGGTGTAAATCAATAAAATTGAATAATACATAACATTTAATTGTCAGGATTAGACATTAAGGAGCATTTAGAGTATATTTCCTAGAAGATGTTTCGACATTCATAAAATAATGACAACAGGTAGTTTTAGTATAAAAAAGCAGCTTACCAGACCTCTGGTTTTGCTACAATCAGTAAATGGCACTGTAATGAAAATACACTGACATACATAATATGAGACATGAAACAAAGTGAAGAGTGAAAACATTTTAAAATAAAATGCTTAAATGAATTTAGTCAAAGCTAAAAAAGAATGAAAACAATTACATTTCAGAATGTGTCTTAAATTATTTTACAATTTCAGGTTGATTTATATAATCTGTACAACTTACTCATGTGAAGCTTTGATTCTCAACTATTTAACATTGAACACACTCAATAAGAAGTATGTCCAGTTATTTACAATGACCTACAACTACTTCATATATTACAAGCTACTTTATAGACTATTTTACATGAACAAAAAAATGGATACAACACAAACAGTATATAAGAGTTTGCTACCAAACAAGCATTGTATTTCTTGCTGCTAGGATGCAGCTGTGATGTGTTGCCATAATGTTTAGTTTTAAGACAGCAAGGGGAATGTGTGGATGGAAAGGGGAACACCGCCGATCACATCAAAGTTTGTTCACAGGTCTTGGGGAGCAATGCCTGCTGCATATGTATAAAGTCTTTTATGGCTCCAGACAGAGCTGCATGAAATCTGATAAAGTGTCTCACATGATGTCACTTGAGGCAGTGTTGGTTTGGACAGTAAATGTATTTTTAAAAATCAGAAGGTGTGGTCTGTAGCCAGCTCCTCATCTCTGCTTGAGTCTAGCTGCTTGGGGCTACATTAGAGTAGATTAGATTCAACTTTATTGTCATTATGCAGAACACAACACACCCACAACCAAAGTGCTGGGTCATGCAGGTGCCAGATTTTGACAAGAAGAACACATGGAATAAAAAGACATATCTGGTTTTTCTGCGTGGATTTTTAAACTTTTTTTTAACCGTCGATCATGAGCCTGTCAATGTTATAGGAGTGCAATGCTAAACTGGTGGGGTACTCATTTATGGCAGGTATTTACAGTGCAGTCCTCTTAGAATCAGTAATGGAGGGGTACAATGCAAATGCTGCATAGGGAGGTGGGTCATCCACAGATTGGTGTGCTGCTTGTTGTTGTGGTGCTGTGCTCCAGGGTGTTTGGCTTGGGTTCCCAAATTCTTCAAAGACAACAGCAGCAGAAGGTGGTAGCTGTTTCATAGCAGGAGCCTCAAAGGCAGGTAGGACGACTATAGGGAGTTTGATCTCTGGGTCTGAAGCACATTTGATATCCAGATGGATCTGTGAAAAATATTGATGTTATATTGTTGGATTTTATTTTTTCTTCTTTATATCACCAGAATGTACATATGTATATTTTATATCACAGCATAAGCGCTAAGCCTTTCCCCAGCAAGCACTTGTTTATAAAAATCAGTAATGGAGTTAGGGTTAGGGTTATGTGACCAGTAACTGAAAAATTAAACCTTATTCACTAACTAAAGTACAAATAAGGCATTTAAAAAATGAAAACAGGAACACAAAAAAGCTTGCCATCAGATATTTTAACAAAACAGCAACCATGCACATGAACAAAAAATGGCTCAGAAAGAGGAAATTCAGCATTACCTCCCAAAAGCTATTTTTTGACCATAGTGTGATTTACCTTCAGCCTGTACTCCAGCTTGATGATGGAACAGTTTAAGATGGAGGGAGGTAGTTCCCTGGGGATGGGGATCACCCTGGTCACAGTCTCTTTGCTAGATGATGCAACAGCCTCAACCTTTTCCTTAAGGATCTTTTGTGTGTGAACTCTCCTGTGACCCTGGGCGAAGAAACTCCTCTTCTCGTACAGAATGAATTTAGGCTTCACTGAACGAGTTGAATGGTTGCTGATTTCAGCTGTGACTTTGAGAGCCTCACCTGTAAAATGGAGAATAGAAATACATTTCTAAACCCAAACAGTTGTTGATAACAGTTACTGTTCTGTAATAGGATGATGGGTATGCAGTTTCTCTATGAATACGTGGCCGAAAGTATCAGAAGTGACATATTTTTACCAAATACAAAAAGATTATTAAAAAAAGAAATTATTAAATTAATGAGTAAACTAATATCGGGCAGAAAATCAGCGTTTTACAGCCCTCTCTAGTTAAAATTTTCAGGTCTATTGCATCTCTGACAAAACAAGACTTTTAACTGCTGTTAAGTTCTTAATGAACATGCTCTTTAATGAAAACAAGATCAACCACAAAATATTGAACTCGGTGAGGAGCATTGTCATAGTTTGTCTCCCTGGTCCTCCTCTCCAGCCACATTTCCGTTTCCCTGTTTCCCCAGGCCCCTTCATTGCCTTTTCCCTTCCATCCACCAGGTGCCCTCAGACTTTCACTTTCACCATCACCATGACCTTCATCCAGATCTGCCTGTCTGCCTGTTACCTGCTTGCCTGTTGCCTTCCTACCTGCACCTGCCTGTAAGCTATTCTTGACAAAAAAACACTGAAGTCATCCTGCTGCCTGCTTCATCTACATTTGGTTCCAATCCTACATTTGCTGAGCAGTATTGAGCATTCATTGTGATCAGATCAGCCAATATTACGCAGGATTACCTCTACCAGACTAGATTATTACCTTGCTTGTATCCCATCCGCTTGGTGTGAACATCCATTGAAATGGTTCCAGAGCCAAAAAATCTGACAGATTTATCCTTGCAACCATACTGAGGTTCCTAAAAGAACAAACCCCACTTTCGATCAATGAAGTAAGATAATTGTATCTTCTGTTTAGACAACGTTCATTTGTAAATGTTTGCATTTTTTAAAAGATGAATGACTTCTTACCAGAAGTCCGGGAATATCCATGTCTGCTTTGGACACAAATGTGAAGTGGGCTTTGGCCGTTTTTGTTATCTTCATTGCTTGTTTTAGCTCTGCCTTCACCTTATGAACAATTTTACCTATGGAGGATTTGAAGGATGATGGGATTTTTCTGTAAAGTACAATAACAGAAAAGTAATTTAAATGAAGTAAAACATCTAAAACAGGGGTGCAGTGAACTTATTCCTAATCAAGTGCACTGTAGGCCTTTGTACATCCTAGTTTCAACACTAGATGTCGCTGTCAGCTTGAACAACGACTTGTCTTAAGATTATGGACTACTAGTCGAGGAAAATATTTACTTCAGTTGATTAAACATGGCCAAACCAATAAGACAGAAGTGAGTGAACGCCAAACATTTCAGGATTTCACCTATAACTATTATATATTTGACTATAGTTCAAAAATGTTAGGCCACCCCTGATCTAGCCCTGTGAGCACCAACCCAAAACAACGGTGAAATTTGAGTTTGTGCTCACTTGGAAAATAAAGATTAAGTATAAGCACGCACCTGTCAGGAATCTTGAAGGAAAAAGGAAATGCATGTCTTCCTTTACCAATGACTTCAGTGCCTGGGAAAGAATTACTAATCAATAGTTACGCTATCTCCACACAGTATATTAATAATGGCTTATTATCTAAGTAAGCTGCAGTGTATCACAAATTAATGATTAATTTAATACGTTACCATCGCGTCTTGCCTCTCTCAAGATATGATGTTTGACATCATAATATTGCTCATCAGACCAGTACACATAATGATTTTGATCGTAATGTTCATCCCAGCGAACCTCAGCTCTTCCTTGTGCTAAAAATATAAGCGATTGGATTTTAGTTTCCTTAGAAGCCTCCAAGATGATTCTTCCATTAATAGTATCTCCGTGTGTGAAGGTGTTTTCGCTGTTGATGGCATCGTATTCAATTGAGAAATGTTTGATGGTCATTGTCCACAAAGAAATACGCAGTGGCAAAATCTAAAAAGTTATAGACAACCAAAGCATTGTAAACCCTAAACAGCTGCTTTGGCACTATTTAGATGTGACCTCAGGCAGGCCAATCTTGTTAAACCGGTTTATCTTACCTGTTCCCATAGGTGAGACACACGTGCTCACACAGTGACTGGAAAAAACATTCAGTCCTGCAAACTCACCAGTTTTCTAAAAGAAAGAAAGAAAGAAAGAAATTCATCAGTCAAGAATGACTACAATCTCTTTGACAACTACCTCAGTGGGCTGAGAGTATACCTATGCTATTTTTAACCTGGGTTAATGACCGTCACATGCTACGCTTTCTCAATGTGTCACATGACATATTTTCCAATTGAATCTAACACATTTCGGTTTACTTGATTGCACGTGCATTCGGCATAATGTGATTTTAGTCCAAAGGACGTTACAGTTGAATGACGTGGTGGTGGCGCAATGGATAAGACACATGCTTTGGTGTGAGAGATAAAGCAGGAGCAAGTACTCCAATATCAGACAGTTGGAAAACGTGTGCAGTCCTTTAAGGCCACAGAAGAATTTAGTGAAAACCAGTCAGAAAGATGTAACAATACCGGCTAGATTTAATCACATCACGTCACTCACCACCACAACATTTATTCATTTAGCTGAAGCTTTTATCCAAAGCAACTTACAATTACTATATATATGTCAGAGGTGTGTCACAGTGGGGAATTGAACCCACATCTCTCACACCAAAGGCATGCATCTTATCCACTGCCCCACCACCACTAATGTATTTTTTTCAATTATTATTATTTTATGTTATAATAATTTATCTTTATATCTTTGGTTAATTTATTTCATCATTCAGGTATCTACAAACTACGCACAATTAAAAAAAGTAATTATCTCCAACTGAGATAAGGCCTTCTCAAGGGAAGGACAACACTTTAGTTTTTTCCATTATTATAAAAAATTGTTTCAGTAAAAAATGAAAAACGTTAAATAAATCTGATGGATTATATAAACTGACCTTCATGAAATTAAAGGACAGCTCTTTTAATGTAGCAGGCAAAACTATCGTAAATAGGAGAGCTGTTAGATTATAGATGACATTTTATTGCTATTGTCCAATACCACTGTATGTAGGACAAAAGAGGTACAGATCATATCAGGGGATGGTGGCACAACAGGTTCACTCTGACCAGATAATTGTCAAAGAAAAATCTCACTTTAAGAAAACAAATACCCTCTTGCACAAGACAAAGAATTTATAATGATTTAACAGCAGTAAATATATTGTTGCTATAACCAAAAACATATGAAATTACATGTGTGCCTGTTTATGTATATAGTTTTACAATGTGTGCACAGTGTAAAAACTTTGGACAGCATAACAAAATTTCACATTGTGACAGTGATATACTGCAGGTTGACAATTTGATAAAAGCAGCACCTGCAAATCCTTTTCTATTACTAGTTTTCCTTTCAGATGTAAGCTGTCAAGCACCAGCATCTCAGACCCACTTCATTCAAATTGGACGGACACAAAATAGAACTCCCCAAAACCATGTTTGTCAGTCTTTCCACTGTTGCAATAATCATCAACTCTGGTTTGGTCAAAAAAAAACCTTCAATTTACAAATGTAATCTGGCTCTGTGCCTCAGCTGGACACCGTGAAACAGGCTCCAATGGCTGCAACATCATCCTTGGGGATAAATGCGCTGTCAAAGTAGCAGACATCCACTACAAGTTGTTAAACAGTAAGATCCTTTTTGGTTATTTTGAAACAGCCATTATTTTGCTTCCCTTAGCCACCAGATTCCATAAAAAACAACATAATTTTTTGCAGATCCTCCGTAACAAATCTTCAGTCAAAGTGGATTGAAGCAATATCAAAGCCAACAAAACCATCTTTGTTGTTACAGTGGAAGGACTAACAAACATCAACTCTGGTTTGGTTGAAATAAGCCTAAAATTGACAGCATTATTTAAGAAAAAGTTCACAGTCACGTTACTGAGATTTATTGCCAAAATCGGTCAAAGGAGGGTACAATCCATATGCTCCATAGGGAGGTGGGGGAGCCAAAGATTGGGGTGCTGCTGGTGGTTGTGGTGGTACAATGCCCCATGCTGGTGGGTCTGTATTCCCAAATGGTTCGAATCCAAAGCCAGAAGCAGCAGGTGGTGGTGGTGCCATGGCTGCAACCTGAGAAGCCGGCAGGATGACTATAGGAAATTTGATCTCTGGGTCTGAAGCATATTTGACATCGAGGTAGACCTGTGCAAAATATAATATATATTATGATTTCTTCTTTATCTCACCAGAAATATCATACAGTATGATGTACAGTCACAATTATTGTCGGTTATGCACACAGGATGAATTAATTATCATCCTGTGTGCATAACCGACGCCTTCGGCAAACGACAAAGGGAGGGGTTCAAAAGCCAAAGTGCAGTTATAGGATTTAGACCAAAGTCATGATGCACGTAAGCAATCCAAGTCACTCTTGAGTCCAGGGGTCAATTAGATCTTTACAAATGGCCAATACATTAATACATCTCAATCTCTAAGCCTGTGTTCACGAAACAGAGAGCTAGAAGACTTTCCCTGTATTCCTTCATTTATAATTTTAAATTTTGCAGCTCCATAATTCAGAGAATAAATGCCATTTGGCCTGATGCCATACCAATCTGCTCAATAGTGTTTTGGGAGGTCTTTTTTTTTGTCTGAACGGAGCATATAAGGTGTTCCATACTGCACAGATTGCAAAGCACTTTCAGGCAAATTTGTGATTTTTGGACTACAGGACTTGACTTGAAATGTTCATTAAATGACCCAGTATGAAGTGGTCAGCTCTTCAGTTTTATAACTCTGTATCACTGGGAATTCATATTAAAAAGATATACTGTAACTAATGGATTTAAGAGGATAATATTTCTTTATTAAAAAAACAAGAGTTAATAAAACCAATGAGACTGAAGGACTTTCTCCTTGTGGGCAGGTTCACCAAAAAATGTGTTTTGTATTATGGTCCAATTTGTACCTACATGCTACAAGTGCTAAGTGCAGCAGAAAAAGTGTATGGCATAAATCATCTCCAATACGGAACAATAATCAATAAAATAAAACCTTCAATCAGGGGGAAAAACATTTACTATTTTCAGGGAAAAACAAAACTTGGATGGATAAAAGGTACTGCAACTCCTTTTTCTTCCTTTTAATGGGGCCAGGATTATCCTTGATTTTCAAGAACGGATATCTCGTTATGAGATTGACAGACACTATTTTCTTCTACTTTAGAGTGAGATCAGCTTGTAAAGCTTACAGGGTTCCCTGGGGGTCAGATTTGAAGGACCATCTCATTTTAAGATGGAAAGAGAGTGCTCCAAGACAGCTCCCAGAAATATATGCCTACATCAGGAGTGAAAGACTGGGATAGGACATAACTAAATGAGGACAACGAGTTAGACTTGGAAGCAATATGGGAAAAACGCTACCGATGTTTCGAAAAACCCAAATCATCAATATATACACTTATATATCGGACACAGACAGTAAAACATCTAATGGGATTAGTTTCCAATCCGTACTGTTCTTTCTATACCTTTGGAGCTGTTGGCTTTATACATACTGTATGGGAATATCTAGGGGTTTTGCTTCATGCGGGGAAGGTTATTAATACTATTGTAAAACTATCGGGGGTACAATTACCAATGGATGCTTGTGTACTTATTTTGAATGATGACTTTACCACTTTTAGTACGGCTGGCAGGCCTTAAAAAAGATTGTAGTCCAGAGTTGGAAACCTCTTCATGATACTTGCTCCAAAGGCTTGTGACCTCTGACATATATATAGCAATTTTAAGTTGCTTTGGATAAAAGTGTCAGCTAAATGAGTAACTGTAAATGATTAGAGAGGCTGCTGTCAGTCATTTTAATCTTTTCAATGTGCGCAGTACAGTCACAGCAAATATCATGGGGCATTTAAGCAGCCAATCAAAAAAAATGTTATAAACTTGACATGACAGGATAGAATAAACTCTCCAGAGGAAAAATAATTCAACTTTTGCTTCTGAAATAATTTAGATTCCCCGATGGAGCTCAGGATCTGGACGGCAGTTTCACTGTATGAACCTGGACCGTGTGTCAGACCTTTTGGATGTGTAGAAGAACACAGAACATTAATTAACATTAGATCCTGACCGATCCTGTCAGCATGTCGGAAGATTTGAATAATTGATGAAGTTACGGTGCTGCTGTAATGCGCCCCTAAAATAACAAAAAACAGTAAAATACTGCACAGTTGCTTTATGCTGCCTCAAGATAGCCTTACCACACCTCATTTTAAACTCTAAACACATTTTTAGTTAATTGTGATTTATAAAGGGAAATTGGCGCAGGACGTGCAGACACAGTCGTATAAATCAGAATATTGGGTTCACGCACTTCTTTTGTTTTGTCCATACTCAACCTTTAGTAGTCTTTCCTATACACAGTTTTATAAATGAGAACCAAGGTCATGAAGATGCTTACCCTCAGTCTGTACTCTACTTTGATGATATTGCAGTTGAGGATGGAGGGCTCCAAATCATGGGGGATGGTGATGACTCTTGAGACCTTCTCGTTAGCAGAAGGAGGGATGGGCTCTCCCACTTCTTTTAAGAGGTCTTTAGTGTGGACTCTTCTCTTCCCTTTTGCAAAGAAGCTGTGCTTTTTGTACACAAAGTATTTTGGCTTGACCTCACGAGACGAGTTGTTCTGAATGAAGGTCAGAACCTTTAATCCCTCTCCTGCAAAATAAACCAGAAATGTCAAAACAACCGTTGTTGTTACAGCTTACAACCAAACTTGTAAGTGTCAATATCACTTCAAGGCAGGGGTGGGTAATATGAGTTACATTTACTCTGTTACATGTACTCAAGTAACTTTTTTGAGTAAATTGTACTTTTAAGGAATCATACTTTTACTATTTTTAGAGAAACTTGCTACTTATTTTTTTATTTTATGCATTCATGATCTGTTAAGAGGTAGGTGGTCAGCTCGTCTGTTAATGATTTGCTATCCTACCGCAGTCACACATCCACATGACTCTGTTCAGAGCAGAATAAAGGCTAAAGCTAACAGCATGGTAGCATAGTTTTCAAATAGCTATAGCAGCTAATATTTACAGATAAAATTTAGTTCACCGTGCTGCGAACCCGGTCATATCCCAGGGTGTCAAATGCTTCTGCTTTGTCTGGCTTTTTTCACAGCGTCTGTATGTAATGCCCTGGGATGAGACCGTGTTGATGCAGTGGGCTCCGGTTGTGAAGTCAGTAGGTCAGAGAACTGTGCTGATGGCAAGCTGACAGAGATTAGTTTCTGTTGTGGTAATGCAAATATATTTAATAGTAAATGGCTACACACAGTAAATTTTGCTTCAAAACTACTCCTGCTTTCTGCCATGATGTAAATCTTCATGCTAACAGTGTATGAACATGTTCACTGGTATAGCCTGATGAAGAGAGACCAACTTATGTGCACACAAAAAAGACAAACTACTCTTATTTCATGTGGATGTGACTGATATGTTTCAACCAGAGAGGATCTTCCTCAGATAAAAGTGAAGTAGAGAACATACCTGTATTTAATAGGATATAAATGATGAAACAACTTAATATAGGAGACAAAATAAAAGAATGTACATTTCTATCCAATCTTTACTTATTGGAAACTTAACAGACTATAATATTAATGTAGTATTTTGTAACCACACCTTTGTACCTTTACATGAGGAAGACCATCAGTAGCTGAAATAATTCCAGTCACATCCACATCAAATAAAAGACTTGGAGACCGAGTGTTTTTTTATTAAAGTTACTTGCTACTCAAGTCATTTTTTCAGTAAACACTTTTGTCCTCTTACTCAAGTACAGTAGTTATTTTGATGATCACTTTTACTTCTACTTAAGTATTTGTTTTTGCAAAGTAATACTTGGGTACAATTTTTGGCTACTCTTGGAAAGTACTCTTGGGCTCTCACCTTGGAAAAAGCCTGTTTTTTCAAGATTCACATCCATTGCTACTGTTCCTGAGGTGAAAACTTTCATTTTCTTATCCTTAGACCCATGCTGTGGTGTCTGAAAGAAGACCAGATTAATTAATGCAATACACCTAAACAACAACAACAAAAAACACTTTCAACCCTTTCATTGTTTTTTCTGGTGCCTCAAATGTACACATCCAGTGCCTGCCAGCACAACAAAAGCTATGTTAATTGAGCCAACAGTTACTGTTAAGTTAACCACTGTAGTTTTAACATTATCATTTATAATGGATGGATGGATGTTAAAGTTGTGTTTTTACAGTGTGGGTTTGCTAAAAGCAGTTGGGGTTTAGGCACATCGCTCAATATACCTCACTGCAGGTACTAAAGAAGGGCTCGATTTCGATCATTCAACTAGGTTCACCAGCCCACGCAAATTGTTTTCCATGCTGGAATGACAGGAATGAACATGTAACTCAGCACATACCATTAGCCAAGGGTCACTGTTCAGGTCTGCCTTCAACACAAAGTTTATCTTGGTTGAATCTTTCTTGCTAATCCTCATTGATCTGCCCAGCTTGGCTTCCAGTGAGTACACAATTTTACCATCGGAACCAGTGAAGGAGGAGGGCATTTTCCTATAGCACAAGAGCAGAAGGCCAGAAGAACGTGAGAAGCTGATGGACAATATCTATCCATTGCACATACAAGAAAGTAGGCAATCAAATAAACATGCAGAATATACATTCTATCAACAAAAAATATACTTGCAAAGAAGACATTATGCAAGTACAAGATTTCATTGTTTAAAAAACTACATCTGGAGAGGGGACTGTCTGCTCCAATTCATTTTGGAATTTAAAGAATGATTACTTACTGGAAAGGGATCTGAAAGGTGAATGGGTAAACATGGCATCCTGGGGCAACAACACTGCTGTCTGAAAAGAAATTGAAAAGCTACTGCTAGTGACGTTAAAACATGTGTTTATTTTACAACCATTACATATTTTTAAGTTTGCAGTAAATGTAGGGGGATTTGGTGTAGTGCAGTGGTGTAGATTAGTGATACACAGGTATATGCCGTATAGCCACTAGGAAAGGTCAAGGATTTCTGTATATCCTCTTAAAAAGTATGAGGATACCTAACAACATCGTTTTGTGACAGAACTCACTCACACAACACTTTCTATCATAATTCCAGCATTGGGTCTTCCGTGGCCTGTGACTGATGTCACCAACCAAGGAACAATAACACTTGCTTGGTCATTCTCGGCGCAAGTTTGAAATTAACTAATGTGTATCACTAAATGACATATGTAACGTAAGCCAACACAAACTACTCTCTTTTGGTATTTTCATAAGCCTGCCCATGAAGCTACTGCCGCTCTGGGTGACACTTTAGCTGCAGAAGATGACACGAATGTTTAAGTTACAGAAACCAAGCTCAATGCTATCATAACGTTACCTGGTAAGTGAAAGTAGCTTATACGTTATATTAACATATACATATGTATATTAACGTAACTGTTAAGCTGGGGATTGTTGGTATACTGATTGTATCTCGATCTAGCTAACTTCACTAAAGTTAGTGTGGTGGAGCAATGAATGCAGGAGACGGGGAGAGATAACTTATATTATATATTAGATAGTATATACTGTGTGTGTGTGTGTGTGTGTGTGTGTGTGTGTGTGTGTGTACACAGTAGTAGAGGTAGCAGTTTCTGGAAGCTTTCTTGTGCATTTATGCTGATACAGTACATAGCCTAAGTTTTTACAGTGGTTTTGGAATTGTTAAGTTCATAATATTCTGTAATTAATGAGTGTTGGTGATAGAACTGCTCAAATGTTCATTACTGCTACTGAAAAGCCTCAGCTTTCCATTATAGTTGCAACTTGCACTCTTAAATGTGCATTAAAAATTGCCAGTTGATAAAACCTGTGCCCCATATAATATATAAGGCTAAATGTAGCTCTTAACTGGCTGAGTTAGTTGGTGATCAACACTAAACTGTAGAAAATCAGTCTAGTCTCCCCAGCTGTAAATGTCATTGGCTGTTAAAGACATGTGTTGCTCTTAATAAGTGGACGGATGAGCGAGTTTGAGGCTGGGAGGGAAAAAATCACAGTATACTCCCTACAAAAAACTAGACTACACCAATGGTGTGGTGGTAGGATGCAGTTTCTTATCTGAATCAGAGCAGTTCTACAGTATCACGCTGCCCACACCGCAGCAATAAGTCCGATTTAATGAGAGTAAAGAGACAGGAGCTGGAAGCTCCACAAACATCTCTGTCAAGCTTTTACACAAGCTTAGTAGACAGCAGAGTAAATGTACACTTGCAGCACTTTGCTAAAGGCTTTGGGGATGGTTTATGGTTTGTGACTGGACAAAAGAGTGGGTGGTCTTTACCCCTTAGCTCACTGAAGCTGTTGATATGATAATCTAATCAAGTAGATGAGCAATCAAAAGCTGAAAGAAATACAGTTGTTGCATTACTTGCATTACAACTCAGGCTCACCACAGCCTGAAATAGAACATTTAAATACTTACATGTTTCTCCATTCTGGTTTGTCAGTAGGGTTTGGTTGTCATCTCCTGAAGGTAAAAATAAATAAATAAATCAGCACACTGAATTAAGAGCAAATAACATTTTCTAACGGAACTACAAGATCATTTGGTGTAAAAATCCAATCACAAAATCCACACGCCCTAGGTGACAGCAAAACCCTAAAGAAGTTTGGTTTACTATCACAAGACAAACAAACAACGGGAACTAGATTTGACGGTTCTTTATTTATTACCACTTCTGCTGGTCAGTGCCTAAGATAAATTATTATAGGGCTGTAACTAACTAATTATTCAATCTGTTGTGAATCATCTGTTGATCATTTTCTAGATCAGTTAGGTGCAGAAAATGGAGAAAAATGTTGATCAGTGTTTCCCAAAGCCACTCTCATTGTTCACTTGAAATGAGCCAGCTCAGGTATTGGCTTTGAATGTTTTACTGCACTAATTTATAATATTTATAATAATATAACAGGTGGAGCTATCCTCAGTTAACCTGGTTCTCCACATCAGGGGTAAGAAAACATCTAACTTTATCATTATGAAAATAAACAACTAACCCGGCTGTTAATACTCACTATCAAGCTAGCATGTTATTATTGGATAGGTTTAAAAAGACCGAGTTGTAATCACTAAAGAGCTGGCTAGCTAACTGTTAGCTGGTAGCTGTGCTAACAGCTGCGGTAACATTTGGGCAAAGATAAAAACGGGCTGATACACATTTTCCCGTTTCCATCAGTTACACTACAGGAACGTGTATTTCGTGTTAGACTCATAACTTGTACGTTGTTTTGCATGTTAGAGCTTCCATGGTGACAGCATTATTGTCTCTGATGAGGACTGCACCCCAGAGCCCAGCACAGATCGGGACATGACCGGGGTCCGAGGAAGAAGACACAGGACGGAGAGGACGAGGTGCAAGCCAAGAAGCACATCTTCTAGGACTTGCGTCGAGCTTCACGCTCCAGCAACAGCATATTAACAGGTATATCTATACATACAGTATATATTTTAATATTAGTCTATTATCTCCCAGTGTGCTTCTCTCCAAGTTTCTCTGGTGTTTCCCCCTAAGCCCTTTGACTGTCAAAAATAAAGTGCTTTATAAATGTAATCTATCACTATTATTACTTTTTTATTATCATTTACTGATTACAACAACTAAGTACAGCTCTTTACAGGCCAGAATCTGAGGACTGTGGACAACATCCAGACTACTGTGTTTCCATGCACCACACAAGGCGGACCTTCCAGACCCAGGACAGAGTAACAGACAGTTCAGTCAGGCAGCATACAGACAGTTTGTAGTGTTGCAATGTGGAACACTTGGCCACAGAGTCGTGATACTAAGTTGCTGTTTCTGGAAGATATGCAACTGCTACGCAAATAATTCCCTCCATTGTGTGAATAAATACCTGTACATTGTTAGCTTTATTCCCAGGAGGGTAGAGAAAATACAAAGTATATTTTTCCCTGTTCTGGATAATATTTTCATTCTTTTTTAAATAAAACATTGAAAATGATACACTTGCAGCATAAACAATCAAGCAACTACATTTGTGTCTTATGTCTGAAATAATGACATCCAAATGTGGTATAACACTTGTTTATTGTTATTATATACTATTAAAACTACAACCTATATCACAAATAGATCATTTTTAAAACATCAATAAAAATAAGTATATACAGGAAGACAAGGTGTATCCAGATGTATCTTGACTGATTATGAAGACAGTTCAGACTTTACTCGTAGCATCGTATCGCCGCTGTGGAGATGATTAAATATATCACAGTCACCTCTCTGACATGATTACCACATTTCAAAACCAACCAAATTACTTTTTGTTTTATATTTTGCTGTATCTAGCAACACAGTTGGGGCAGGGACACCTGACTGAACCCCATGACGAGAGGGATCATCAGGTCTCCTGGTCCTGCTTCTATGCATCTCCTCAGTAGTAGACAACCGGAGGAGGAGGAGGATGGCACTCTGGAGGTCTACGATGTAACTGTAGTCCTTCTCCACCTTCAATGAGTACAAGCTCCACTTCTTGGACTTCTTGTTATACACCTTGCTGTACCTGATAATACAGAAAGGAATTTTCTAACTGACATTGTTCTCTTATAGAGTAATTAATAAACTATTTCCACATAAAATGCAATCAATAACAATAAATCAGCACCATCTATCTGTATTCCTCATACTGTTTAATATTTTTTGACCCATCACTTATAAATGTAGAGTAAAATGCACAAGAGTACTCAAAAAGCAACATACTGAACTGTGTCATCAGCTCTTGTCCTGGCTGGGCTGTGGACACGGTGGTTGTAATCCAGGCCAGCCAGCATGGTCCGATCAGTGTACATCGTCTTACCTAATATTAGCACCTACAGCTAGATATAATTCATCGTCTCTACTCTGGCTCCTACACCAACCTGCACTCGGAGCTACTGTTAGCTGTATGCTAAGTAGGTAGCTACGTTTGCTAGTGATGAAAGTAACAAATTACCATCAAAATGATAAAAGCCAGATTACCTGTCCAGCAGAAATAAAGCCACCACGGTGTAACTTTTCAGCCCCTTGGTGTTCCTCAGTTGTCAGTCACTATCGTTGAAAAGCCACGCAGATATAACCTCCGGTCTGACCGCTTCGCTCGTCAGGTCTGAGAGAGAGCAGCTGACCGGGTGCGCGCACGGGGGCAGCTCCTGTAGCAGCAGGGCTGGTAGCCATGGCAGCGAGGGAGAGTGACAGTCACCCAGCCAATCATTGCATTCGGTCCGAATGACACGACTGGCTGTGTTTACTGCAGCCCTGAGAGGAATACAGCCGATTTTTATACTCTCTTTTTCAGAGCATCTAACTTTTTAATATGTATTGGTGTATAAAGACAGTTTCAACAAATATGACAAAAAGTGTTTCAGAAGCAACTTGCCTACCCTGCCTTTAATTAAGTAACCTTAAATTTATGCAGAAAAAGCAGAAATTGGTAAAGAAAAATTCGCCAGAATGCAGGAAATAAATTGTTTATGCTCAAATCGCCCAGACCCCCGCTTAGTGCCTTGCCACTACAACTGCTCATAAGCAAGAAAATACATGGTACCTGACTGCCCCTGCCTTACATCACTATTTGCTAAGCTAGGCTGGGGGGACAATGAATATATAATAATGCTGTGTGTACAGTTCAGAATCAGTAGGCAAGAGTGCGCTATATATTAGCCCCCTTAAATCAAAATCTTTTGAGATTTTTACTTGACGTTTTTATTTTATTGGCTACCCTGCTGTGTGGAGGTCCATCCATCGTCAACCGCTTGTCCTGCCTTCTTGCTGTGAGGCGACAGCGTTAACCACTGCACCACCGTGCCGCCCCCTGTGTGGAGGTTTGTCTTAAAAATACCAATACATGGTCACTCCGAACTCGTCACATTTAGACACTTTGTCAAGACCCCTTGGAGTCACCTGTTAATGCCTTTGGCGTCGTGTATCGATATGTAGGGCTCTGCAGTCAAGTTAGCAACAATAAATATGCAACAGCAATTATAAATGTCAAGTTAGACATTTAAAATAAAACATAGTGTTAACATTTTGAAGTGGCACATTGCGAAACGTCACAGTTTGTTTAGGTTTAGGCACCAAAACTACTTGGTGAAGGTTGTGTAACTTATGCAACTTAAATAAAGATATTTTATGTTGACTTTCTGTTTCACACAGGAAGTAAACACCCATTTCCTAGTAGTTCAGTAAAGTTGGAAATACTGATGTCGGAGGAGATATAGGAGACACTACACCTTATAACATTGAAGGTTTTGCATTATAAATGCAAATTAGGCAAAACTATATTTCCCCAAACTAAGCATGGAAGTATAACCAGCAGGAGACACCTAATGGGCGAGGGAATTTTGGACACTACGCATAATAGTTACTGAATGTTTAGTTCCTCAAAATAATGCAAAATTACATTTCTCCAAACTAAGTGTTGTAGTATAACCAGCAGGAGAACACTGATGGGCTAGATGACATTGGACACTACACATTATAACAGTGAAGTAAATAATATATAATATATCTGCAGTTCGTCTTGATGGCGTTGGACTTCGTAGAAGGTCCCCGTTCACTCATCTCACAGATAGCTGCACACAGAGATAATTGTTATTTGTGCAGCTCATAGGACTATAATCATTTTGGTAAAAAGCTTGTAGCTTGTTTACGATAGTAAAGAGGCACCATTTCTGTTTTTAAACACGTTGAGTGAACATGCGAGTTATGGATCCGGGAAGTTCAAATCTGTGAATATATTTCCAACTTCACCAAACTTCTCCAGTGAAAGTCTGGTTTTATTTGGCATAGCTTAACTTTACATTTCTGGGTCAGTGAGAGATAAGTCTTTTAATAACTTATATAGTAACAGGTTGTCCGTTTCATGTCATTGGAAATTAGATTTGCACCTTTTTGTTTTAGAAAAGGTAAGACTGAATATGCTTGAAAGTGTCAAGTGGTGTAACCAAAAAACAATGACATTTATTAAATATGCTATCCACCTACAGTGTGAGTAAATGTAAAAATGGCTTAAAACATCATATTACACTGCAATAGTTGATTACATTTTATTCCACATGGATTTTCCTGTATGTTATAATTTTTTTTGAAAAATACTGGTTACACCAATTGACACAAACTAGTTACACCACCTGACGATGTTGCATTTACAATCAAAGGTCAAGGTTTGTTGAAGAAATTGACACTGAAAATCAAGCATGACAAACAACAAGGTCAACTAAACTTTCTGTTGCTCACATCTATTCCAAACTTTACATTGATAAGAGTCCTTTCCTGAACACATCTACATGCCAATATTCAATTATTGTCATAGCCTACCTACTGGCAAAAGGAAGTGATGATTAACTCCTGCATGACCTTTCCAATACGCATGATAATTCAGAGCCATGTGTTCCAACCTCCAGCCACTGCACTGCGGCTGCGGCTGCGACACACCACGACGTGCGTCACGGCGTGAGAGCTCATCCAACACTGTGCAGCTTTCATTTTTTAAATTAATCCACTTTAATAAATAAAAATTTTAAAAACAGAGCAGTCTCTCACAACTTTTGAATTAATGTTTTTTTGTATGTGCATTTATAAGAGTAGTACTGCTTAACACCACTCTCTCCGGACTAGCGCATGCATCAGTGGCAGTAGCGGCCAGAGAATTGTTCATGGTTGAAAAGCTTTTTGCTGGTCGCACAAAGTTTACAATGGACGACAATGTTCTTTGCATCTTGCACTGTGATACAATAATGGCAATACTTACAGATGTCAAAAGAACTTCCTTGTTCTCCATATTTCCTTTAGCTTTTTGGCCAACAGCTGATCGAACAATAAGGTCAGGTTTCTAGACTTAAACTGCAGTATTCACGTCAAGGATGGTGTGTTCTGGTAATGCACTGTTACTTGGATTGATAACTGTAATATTAATACTGTTTTGGAAATAGTAATCCCCCATACTACTAGTTCCTGGGAAAAGCAATAATATTACAGTAACGTGCCCAGCACTGATAACAGCAAGAATCATCAGGGTGTCTTGTCTTCTCTCAGGTCTTCTATAAGACAAAAACATCTTAACAACAACGATAGTTCCGTATTGTTACTCCAGATTCTGTGCAGCCCTCTAAGGCTATTTCTAGTGATTTTATCCTTCACGCGCACACGCAGTACTGAAAGAGCTTTTTCCACCCCCACCAGCAGGATAGGCCACAACCACAGTCTCACATTGTGTCTAAACTGGAAATAGCTTCATATAGCAAGTGAGACAAGCGCTGAGCAGTCAAGGGAAGCCCCAGAGATTGTTCTCTATAATGAACAAACAGATGTTGGGAACAGTGCAAAGCACCTGTGGGCTAGGGCTGCAACTAACGATTATTTTTGTAGTCGTCTAATCTGTTAATTATTTATTCGATTAGTCGACTAGTCACAATTATTTTCGTCACCCACTAACCCTAATTAAACCATTTAACTAATTAAATATCTTTCAACTGAATTACTGATCTCCAACACACAGCCTAACTAGCTAACGTTACCATTAAGTGAACAAGATTTACTATTCAGAATGAACACAAGTATCAACTCCAAGGGGAAACAGGGAAGTAGACAAGACAGCGTAGGATGCTCCTTTAATTCACTGATTTACTATTACAATTAACGTGTTTGCTAACACAACTAAAAGAGCGTTCTCTTAGCCAGCACCTTCCATGAGACCTCAAAACCAAGAATGCAAAGAACTATGGAGAGGCTTCTCCAAGATAACAGCTAGGCTTTATCCCTTCTTCCGGCTTTTCTTCCTCTGTCGTTGCTGCTGCAGTGGTCTGAGTAACTGGGACCAGTGGGCTCTGTGGGCGTGACTGTCCAGCTGGCACCGCTAACCTTGCGGGCGCTTGTGGAGCTTCTCAACCCTGAAAACGTTTGAGCACATTTTGGATTTGCCATAAATTTTCGTAAAACTGCCAATATTCAAGTTCTGCACAGTTGATTTCTTGGCTCAAAACCTCTCAAAATGTATTTAGTCATGAAATAGCGTACAAAACAAAAAAAACGTTCTGCTGTTAGCTTCTTTCTCCGTTGCTTTCTGCTTCTTGCATGGCAGACAGAGGAAGCCATACTGCCCCTAGCATTCCATGTAGTGCATTGCAGTTGGAAATCTACGACCACAAATGTTCTTAATGAAAGATTGCTATCTCTCTCTTAAACGACATCACTGTAACGACGCGTCGACAATGAAACGTTTTTTTATAATCGTCGATTACGACGACTAATCGTTGCAGCCCTACTGTGGGCGCAGCATAACTTCGCGGGCGATGTTATGCTGCGTCTGCGTTAACAGAGCGCACACCGGGCAAAGGAGCTCCCGGGCTTCCTCCTCTAATCAGTGAGGATGTGGAAAGAAGCCGCCCAGAGTAAACACCCTAGATATGAAATAGCTAGTGATTCTCTTGGGCGTGAAAGCAGGATTAGGATGCAAAATAGCCGAGCTACCACAGAGATAGCATAGATCGCTAACTCCCGAACCCGACATCAAGGCCAACCGGGCACTTTTGCCCTGTTTTACGGCAGTGTCAATCATAGCATCCTTGCGTTTTCTCATGCAGCAACCATATAGGCATTATCTTGGACACTAATGCAAGCAAATGACCGTGGTGTGAATAATTATAATAATAATATTTAGTAAATTCAAATTTTTATAATTATAATGAATTATGAATGTTTTCCTGAGGTCATACCATTTGACATATAAACCTGATCATACCTGTAAGTGTCAAATTATCCCATATATTTCAGAGAGTTAATAACCCTGGCATGAAGCAGTTAGGGTTCATCAGGAGTCTTTCTCTGATATAATTTTACTGTCACATGGTCTTCTTGCACAATATTAACAAAATGGCACATTGTATGGTGGTTACACAAACTTGACACTTCGACAAGTCGACTTGACTCACATGATTCCCAAATTAATTTTAATAATAATAGTAATTTTAAATCTGAAAACTTGTGTGCTATTATTTTTTTACTATTAAATAGCTCTAATGCATCATAATGCCAAACCAATTAACAGGGTGTTTAACTGAAAATTTCACTTTTTTTTAAGCAAGTTTAATCATTTGGTACTTGTACCTTGCTTAAACTTTTAGGTTACACCACATTGGCATTTTTGTCAATCATTCCCCAAAAATTCTCTCCAAATTGATTAAAACCTGAAACCAGATTACAACCAGAAAGTATATAATATGTAAGTCTAATTTAACTCTTTTACATTGAACTAAGCCCATTTATCCATTAGGCTATTCTCATCGTCTTACTACAGTTGATTTGTTTCCTGTCTTTACATTTTCCATTTCAATTTTAAACACTGTCACTGCCACTTCGTGGATCTCTTTAATGTAAGGGTCTCATTTAAATATGTGTAAATAGCTGTGCCACTTTGTTTCGCAAGTTATCTTAAACACCTTTTGTAAACTGACATCTTATGCGTCTGGAAATGAGATAATCCCTGTTATCGTTGATATCTGCATTAAATTTGCCGACTTACCTTTGAGATTTTTGTCTCGAATGAAGTCGTGTTTAATGCTGAAGTACTTCTCCTTAGAGTGGTACACGACAGTAGTTTTACCGTACCTCTCGGTCCACAAAACGTCGGCTTTCCCCTTGAATTTAATTGACAGGGAGTCGATTTGGAAGTCTTTGGCCACTTCCATCGTGACTAGACCCGAAACGCAGTCGCCATTGGTGAAAATGTTTTCCTGATTAACAGGGTTGTAGGTGACTTTGATGCTCTTTACAGTGAACGGCATGATGCGCGTTTTACAGCGAAAACTTTAAAGGCTATGTAAAGCAAAGTCTTCTTCTTTGAGGTTTGTCGGCAGTTGGCATTATCAATGTTGCATTAGCGTACAACACCTCAGGTGAGTTTGTCCTCCTAATATGAGGAGGGTAGTTCCGCTGTTGTAGCCCAACTTCTTTTCAAACTGGTTTCTATACGCTTGCGCGTGTTGTGTGCAGCAGCTGCATACTGGTTCAGTACCCAGATTCGTCACGCCTTCAAATCTACTGGCGACTATAATTGCATTGTGATTATGGCCCCAAAGTGGAAGGACACTGTTTCCTAGAATGTCATACTTTTACGAAGCCTACATATCTCACATTATGCACTACTCTCCATAAAGTATGCTGCTAGGCACATCCACACTGTATAGCCTACTATTATTAGGCTGCTCCGGCTACTGGCCTATATTTCTCATACTGGTAAGGATGGATCTAGCTGTCAGGACTGGCAGGGGGCAGGTAAACGGATGATAAGAGCCAGATGCAGACACTCCAGCCACTGATGCAGTTAGTAGAATTTCTTAACTCAAAAACAGTCTTACATGTGAGGTGAGAAGTCCAAAACACAGGCTGAGTACACAAGGTATAATTATCTTGATCATTTATTTAATCATTTGCCCAACATAATGAAAGTTTGTAGTTCTTTCATGCTTAACACATAGAACTTTACATATTTTAATGGGTATTATAAGTCCACCTCCTCTCATCTGGCTGGAGTCTTGTGCTCTCACAGCTTGGAAAAGGGTGCTTGATCCGGGATGTTGATGAAGCAGGTCTGTGTATAAGAAGCCGCCTAGGCCAAAATTTAATACTTTACTTGCACATATACGTACATACAATACATACTGTCATGAACATACATACATACACGCTTGCATATACATATACTGTCAATTGTGAGTATGTATATATATGCGATGTGAGTATGTAGGGCAAAGTATGTGTCTATATGCGAGTTAGATTATACGTTCGAGGGTAGGATAGGGTGGGGTTCATTCTACAGTGAATAACGCTCTTGCCTTTATTGTGGGAGCATGTGTCATTGCTACTCTTGCAGCAGGTCTGAGGATTATGGGGACATGAAAACATTACATTTACATTTAGGAGGAAGAAGAAAGTTTTTGAAGGAAGACACTTTTTTCCACTGTCAAAAATTTTGCTGTCAACACATTTCATAGGCATTTACTGATTTATCTGATGCTTATAATGATTTAAATGTGTTCATTATGTTGTTGTTAGTTTGTTGTAGCTTACAGCTTAGGCTACTGATTCATTTTAAAATGTAGGCTATTTGACTTTTTTTTTAATCTGTAATGAAATTAAGCAATTGTAAAATTAATAAACCCCATAACTGCCACACTGCCATTGTTATCAAGCGTGTATATGTCAGGGGTCGGCAAATAAGTCTGGCATCAGGCCTAATTTTTTCAGTTCTGTTATATGGCAGGCCAAAACTAATTATTTCAAATTCTTGGATACTCGTGTGCACATTTATCTTAGTCGGTAGTGTGCAGGACACCCGTGGGGAGGGTTGTATGATTGATTCCAACATACTGCGGAATCTTTTTTTCTTTCTTGTTAAACAAATTGATTATAAGGACACTTTTGCACATGCTCACAATAAAGCATGTGCTGCAGTGTGTGTGTGCGTCCCGGCTTTTGTTCCACATTCATAAAGCGCTTATTTTCATTTCCCTGAGGAAATTCAGGAGAATCCAATCACACGTTTACTGACGGCTTTTTCAGAGGTGAGTCAAGCAGGCCAGAGACTGTTTTGAATATCCTTCAGAACTTTTCAAGATACTTGACATAAAGAATTGCTGCAAACAAAGTTTTTGCGCTTTTATTTTGGAGGCACAATCCCTCAAGAGGAAGTGATTATGTGAGTAACTGTTGCTGCCATGACTGAGATCTAGCACCTGCTGCTTTCAATTTATTTATTTGTTATTTTTCTGCTGTCAAAGCAGTCTGGTCGCGGGCCGGATATTATTGCTGACAGGCCAGTTCTGGCCCGCAGGCCGCCTATTGCCGACCATTGGTGTATGTATGTGTGTGCATGAAAGTATGTATGTATGTGCCAGTGTGTATGTATGTGCATGACAGTATGTATGCAAGCGAAGTATTCAATTTCGGCCTAGGCGGCTTCTCATATCTGTGTAGTCTCTGTAAAGGTTTGGGGTTATGGAAAACATCCATCCATCCATCCATCCATCCATCCATCCATCCATCCATCGTCAACCGCTTATCCAGCGTACAGGGTCGCGGGGGGCTAGAGCCAATCCCAGCTGACATCGTCCGAAAGGCGGGGGACAACCCTGGACAGGTCGCCAGTCTATCGCAGGGTTATGGAAAACAATGGATGCAAATATAGAATTATGTAGCTAAGTATACAAATGAACAAAATGCTGTTTCTCACTGTCCAAGGTGCTAAAAACAAAGTCACAATAGTACTTACAAGACAAGGCGCTGTATTAATACAAAAAATAAAGATGCTGGCCAGCCAAAAGGAAGAAGTCACAAATTCATTAAATTAAACAAATGTAACTGCAAATTTTAACACAACTATAATGGAAACCTGGAAAGCCTAACTTGCCGGTTGGATGTACTTCTCCAGTATATTTGATGAGCTTTTCACCATCAGTCAGGCCCACAAAAACAAGACAGTAAAAAACAGTAGCTGACACTAGACAAGACAGAACTGATCTGTTACTTTAAGGTCGAGTGAGCATGGTGGGACTGGAGCGTTATAAAGTGCGTAGTGCAACCCCTACTTAATAGTAGCAGGACTAATATCTTGTATCTGTATTTGTATCTTTGAGTCTGTACTTTGAATGGCTGCAGTGTTTGGAAGGTGCTAAATAAACTTGCCTTGCCTTGCCTAATAACAGTAGGCTATGTAAACAGTGTGGAAGTGCCGTAGCAGCATGAACATATTGAGTGGACAGTAGTGCATAATGTGAGATGTGAAGGCTACATAAAAAGTGTGGCATTTAGGAAACAGTGTCAATCCACTTTGACTCCGTTTGAGCACCAAGCATCAACGTCAACACGGAATCCTTATCTCGCTGGAGCCTTGTGCTCTGCCCTCGCTGAGTGCTCCAGGATGTTGATGGGGCAGGTCTGTGTGAACATGTGTGCATAATAACAGTCTTAGATTTCCCATTGCCTGGCAGCATGTCCAGACCGGACATTTACCAGGACATTTTCCTTGCCTCTGTCGCCTAGTGCTTGCTCTTAGTGGGAACTGTTGGGTTTCTGTAAATATCATCACAGAGTACGGTCTAGACCTGCTCTTTAATGAAAAGTGCTCTGAGATAACTGTGTTGTGATTTGGCGCTATATAATAAAACTGAATTGAATTGAAAATTGATTAAGTACATAAACATGTCTATTGAGCAGTAGAAGCCAAATATATCAACAGAGGAATTGCCCAGTTCAAAGTAAAATTCAATAAGCTTATCCATATATCTTATATATATATATATCTTATCCGTTGCGCTGGGAGCAGCCGACCAGACACAGCTATGGCTCAGAAGGAACAAAAGAATACAAGTGTTGTGAGGGAACGCAAAAGTATTGCATGAGAACGGAAAACATATTGCGAGGGAAAGCAAAAGTAGTCTAAATACACTGCGGGTCCCCTTACACGGAAATTCCCACGTTCCGCCACCGTGTTTCTATGGTAGCCCAAACAGACAAGTTGCCATACAGAGTGCATTTTGTCACTACATTGAATACGGCAGTACGATCTGAAAACCCTTTGAAACACTTGATATCGATTTTGGTAGCATTTGATCGAAGACTTGAGGGGACACAGATGTTAATTGATTTAGTATATTCTAAAAAAAATATAGAGTGACAGACTTCTGAATTGACCATAGGTTGTAGCAAGTGATTTCAACTCTCTGGGACATACGGGTGATTTTGTAGAAGTTTGGAATGAGAAATATCTAGAAAAATTCTAGAGACATTTTTGTTGTAATAAGCCATGCCCACTTTAAGTAGATTAACAATAGCTTAAGACAGTTTTCATTTTGATTTATGTAAAATAGTACGCATAGCCACAAAAGTTCAAATTTATGAACAAAAACAAACAGATTGAAATATAAAAATTCTTTTGATAACTTTAGATGTAGATTTTAAGTCCATAGATGATCCTCCCAAAGTTTTGGGTCGTTTGGCCACAATCAACAAATGGTGTTTGACATGTTTGCAAAAATAGGTTTCTGAGAAAAGTGATTAAAAGTTGCATAATTTTACATTTTTAGAGCATAAGACATTAGAGCAAAGATGCAGATGAATCGAGAGATTGAAAGGATGAAACAACTTTGACTCTAAACAGAGCCGTTTTTCAGGATAATTGCAAAAAAAAGAATGAAGGAATGAAATAATAATGAGAACAGCTTCTTTTGCTGCTAAGATCCCTAATACATTTTATTTATATAGCACTAATCAAACAGATTATGATTTAGATAAAGATATAGATTATGCTCATTTGTATGTATTGTTTATTTAAAAGAAGCAAACACGGCCAAATCCATATTCTTCTTCATATTCTCTATAACATAATTTACAACATTTCAGTAACCATCATTAAACACCATGAGATAAAATGAAGAATGTCATCTACAGGTACTGGAAATCAATACAGATCAATGATACAAGGGTTACTACAGGGAGTAAATTTTAAGACTGGACTAACAAGCTTCAGCACATTCTCTAGTACTGATTTCCATTTAAAACTACACGAGATCCAGTCATACAAACATTAGTGTATCAAAGTAAGGCAGATAACTGTAATACTTTACTCGTGGAATATTTTTAAGGTATATTGTTCTGCTTTTTAGTTAAAACAATTTACTTCCTTCTCTCCTACTCCTACTACTAATATTTTAAAACATACAAGTCTTTGCAATCACATCTGTCTTGCCTTTTGCCTGAATAACAGGGATAAAGCAAAAACTTATTTAATACATTATAGTGGTTGTTCCTAAATTTGAGTCCTGTGTCATACTGTGAATTTAAAAAGAGCGAGCTTCTAGTATGTATCATGGAAATCAGTCAAGGAGGGGTACATCCCATATGTCGCATTGGATGGAGGTGGAACAGAAGGGCATGAGGTGGTTGAGTTTTGTGGAAAGCTGGTCCCTCCTGGCATTTCTGAGTTTGTAAATGCTTCAAACCCATAGGTGGGATAAGCAGGCGGATGCTCCTCATAAGGCCCCTGTAAAGCGGGCAGGATGACTATGGGGAACTTGATCTCGGGGTCTGAAGCATATTTGACATCCAGATAGACCTGTGGTGGAGAAATAGTCAGCACTTATAACAATCATGCAGCCCTGGTGACATCAAGACCTACACACACATTTTGGGAAGAGAGATACACACCCTGAGCCTGTACTCTACTTTGATGATGTTGCAGTTTAAGATGGACACACACGTGGTGGGAGAGATGGTGATCGTCCTGGTGACAGTCTGGCCTGCAGATGGTGGGATGGCGTCACCCACCTCTTTTAGGATATTTCTGGTTTCGACTTTCCTCTTCCCCTTTGCAAAGTAACTGTACTTGCTATACAAACAGTATTTGGGCTTAATATGACGAGATGATTTGTTCTGAATGTAGGCTACAACCTTCATGCCTTCCCCTGCAAAACAGAGCAGCACTTATTATTATCCGATAGTTGGAAAACATAAAACATGCTCTCTTAAATAGAATTAAAAAGGAGTGATAGACAGCAATAATCTTATACTATATACAGTGTATGTAATTTTTAACAATTAAAAATATACAGAACTAAAGTCTGCGGTTACCCCTGCATTAGTTGTAGACACATGACAAATAAAAATCACCTTATTATCGTGAAGGTACAAGCTGCATTAGAATGCAATGTACTCAAATTGTCTCTCATGTGGTTACACAACTTGACAACAAGAAACCTGAATTTTAAAAATATTAATACATTTAAATTCAGTACTAATCATTTATTAGTTAGTCTATGTAACTTCTGCTGAACAGCGGCCTCTAGCAAAGTGAAATAATGATAAATTCAGCAGAGAAGGGATACAAACCTTGAGTCAGTGTGCAGACTTGTAATGTCACAATTTCATATCTGAACTTTGCTAACATGTGCGTATATTAGTCACTATAAGCTACTGGTCATACCAGTCCAAGTAAAGCTATTACAACAAAACCCCTGAGTGTACTGAATAGAGCAAAGGTGTGTTTTAATGCTCATAAGAGAATGAACGTGTTATTTCTTCTTTCAAAATGTATACAGTCTAGCTTTAAATGTAAAACCCAGTTATTTTCAAATTACATTTTAGCTTTGCTTGGTGTGAAGGAGCAATTCTTCCAACCTATAGAACATATTTGGATTATCTTTCTGCCATTACGATTGCTACGTCTCATTTGTTGTTGTCTTATCTTTAGACCATAAACAAGTCCATTAGCAAAGGGACTTTGAGCTACAACTGCAAAGAGTTTATTTGTTTTACTGCAACCCACTGTTAAAATAATCTGTTAAGTGAATGTATAATTCAACAATTTTAGATCACATATTATCTAAAATTACCTTGGTGAAAGCAGGTTCGCTCAATGTTTACATCCATGCCTACTGTTCCCGATGTAAAGAGCTTCATTTTCTTATCAATTGTACTGTGCTGTGGAGTCTGAAAGTAAAAAGACAAGTTAATTAGAGATGGTGTAACTTCTCTTTACTGCAGCGGTGTCCAAATCAAACAGTAAACACATTGGACATGTGTGTGTCTGTGTGTGTGTTGTAAGGTAGGTACCATCAGCAATGGATCGCTGTTTAGGTTTTCTTTGTGGATGAGGGTGAACTGCGCATTAGCTTTGCTGTCCACTCTCATTGACCGGCTCAGATTTGCCTCCAGTGTGTACACAATCTTTCCTGATGAGCTTTTGAAGGACGATGGCAAGTCTCTGCAAGTCGTGACAACACAATATACAAAACACTATGCATGAGTGACAGTAATACTCTTTCAGTAGTGATTAACTTAGAAAGCATTAAGAGAATCCACATTATAGAGCTAACCTCATTAAGTGCAAATTAATGATTGAAAAAAAACAACAAGATAAGACAATAGAACTCACTGTGCAGGGATCTGAAAGGTGAATGGGTAGACATGGCAGCCCGGGCCAACAATATTGTTGTCTGAAAGGCAATAAACTTACTTAATGTGGCCTCCACTTCTGGTTTGTTAATCAAACCACAAGTTAATACATTTCTGGCTCTTAGACTCGGATATACTCACTCTGAATTGTAAATGTGTTGAATTAGGAAGACAAAAGTGGGAGAAATTTTAAAAACAAACTTCTCACTAGAACCTGTTCACTGTCATTTGAATAGCTCAAAAACACACAAACGTCTCATCAAACCTTAATGTTAGATTAATTTTCCTAAATCCTACAGTATGTATATTTAAGTCCAGATTGTGGGATTTATTTAACCACTTGTATATCCTCAGTTCTCACCAGTGAAAATAACCACAAAAGGACGCTGTGTGCCATGTTGTATGTGCAAATACACTTAATGCAGGACACAACATTTTTAAAAGGAGATATTTAGAACAAAATACAAAGTGAAAAATGCTTCATAGCATATGGAAATTGTAACATTAAAAAAATTGTTAATAAATGTATTGACATAAGAAGCTCACTTACCCTGGCCCTCCTGAATGATAAATTGTTTGATACTGAAGAACTTCTCTTTGTTATGGTATTCTATAACTGTTTTTCCATAATGTTCAGTCCACGAGACTTTGGCTTTTCCCTTCAGCTTTACACAGAGTGAATCTATGTTGCAGTCTTTTGCTAGTTCGAATGTAATTTGTCCTGTCAGATAATCACCACTGGTGAAAATATTGTCTTTGTTTATGGGATTAGATCCCACCGAAAAGTTTTTAACAGTATTCGACATGATACACTTTGTGACTGCTAAGCAATGCTGTGAGTCCAAGGCAAGTGTCAGCTGAGATAGCGGAGACAGAGATTTTATATGTTGCAAGGTGTGTCTCAGCATGCAGATTGACACTTTTGGTAATAATTAAACCACAATACTTTAATAAATCTTGCCTACTGGTGACAGCTGATGCGAAATGAATAATTATTGGCTCTAAGAATATAAAATGTTACTTTGGGTATAAAAAGATTTTTTTAAATTAGTATTTATTGCATAAATCAATGCTGTGGTTATACAACACCATTTAATGAATGAGCTCATTCTGTGTGTGCTGGCAGCATATGCTACTACATGCTGCTTCTGGCTGTCCTTATGTGGGTGTGTCTAACACCTGTTAATACATTACAAGCAGGGATCATGTGAGCTACACATGATACTGGAAATAATGAGTATATGGAAACCAGCAAAGGTGCATCAGCACACCTGGGGTGTGTCTAAAAGCACAGTGCGAGTATAAACAGCCTTGAAAGCACCATAATGGTAGCAAAAATATATATAGTAACAGAAATGTACATAAGAATCCCTAATCATGTTTAAATGTCATTCTGGTACACAGTTCTTAGTAAGAGAGTAATTAAGTAAAGCTTTATTCATCTTCCCTTCATCACCAGGGTCACTAAGTGTTTCACAGTTACAAAGATGACTAAATAATTACAACAAATACATTTTATTGCCATTTATTGTGTCAGTGCCCTAAAACAGGACTAATTTTATTATATTGCAGTTGAGTAAAGCAAAATTAATAATTCCATGTGAAGTCCATAGCCTGGTGATATCAGACTGTCTGATCAGACTTAAAGCTGAAAATAATCGTGGGTATGTGGCTAAACCAGTTGTCAAGGTACTGTCTCCAGTCCAAGGTTCACGTTGCATAACCACTGCAGCTTCATCATCAACTGTGAAATATGAACGGAGGCAATGAACCTTGTATATTGCTGACCCCTACAGGAAACCAGATGGCCTGCACCATAATTGCAACCAATATGTAGTTGTAAAAAAGGCTAAATAAATGAAAATTCTGATAGCACAAACATTAATTAAAAAATATCTTGATCCAACTGCAGTGATAACACAAAGGTAAAAACAATACCTGAAAATCCTTACAGAAAGACAACAAGTCTTTTTGCATTATGACACTAAATATGACACACGCAAGACTTGAGGGATGCGACATCAGAGAGAAGGCAACAAAAGAGGAAGCAGAGTCTTTGCTGGAGAGTTGGGCCACATTCACTTTAATATTGGGATTTCAAACTGCTATAAACCAGCCTTTCAGCCATACATACAACAGTAAATAGCTGATGCAGTCAAGCCACCTTCCGTTCTGATGGACGCACTGTTTAGGCTACAATACATGGCACAGATATGACTGTGAGACAGAGAAGGGTCTACGTACATTTACTTTAGATGTACTTAATTAAATGTAGCATAAAATTATTGATAGCCAGTTAAGTTGGTGACCGGACGAGTGGCCCAGAGATGCGAGAGGCTGTCCAAAACAAAGAGGCAATGAGGATGAAGCCCAGCAACAGCTAAAGCTAGTCAGTATGGTAGCCAGCTATAACTATAGTAAGCACAAGTTCTAAATTCCAATACTGTAAATTCATTTTATATATTAAACAAAAACATTAACATTTTTCATTTTCACATATGAAAGGAGCAGCCTGAGAAGATCTCAGATCTTCTGCTCTCAGATGTTATCAACCATAAAAACAGCCAGCCATCGATGTTAGTGAATATTAACATACTGGCTCCCATAGAGGGAGTGCCAGCTGAATAGACAGCTTTCCTCCAGGAAATTAAGCTAATTCGCAATGACAGTGTGAGTGAATTTAGTTTACACTCTACTTGCAGCGTTTTCTTTGCTGAAGGGGGGGCAAAAAAGTAATCTGGTACGTGGTATTGAATCAGTTCAGCCGAGCATTCAGCTGTTTGCATGGAAGGGCTTTGTCATCAACATCCTCATTAAGAGCGCATTTACCTTTACTGTTCCCAAACTTCTAATTTAGTCAGATTATAGACATACTAAACATATACTTACAATAATATATTCCAAATTATAGCATTTACAATAGGTCAGTGCAGGTTCTTGACGTTGTTTTTTTAGGACTATCTGAGACAATCCCTTAACGACCCAGCTGGGATTTCACAAAAAGTAACATTTTTCCATTTAGGCAAGAACAGGAGAATCTTATCCGAATGTTAAATGCATGTCGATAATAACATCTTTGGTATGGTATAAGTGGTAATAACATTTAAACTACAACACATCAGTTCCCACATGCTTCAATCTACTTAATCCTAAAATGTAGATTTACAATAATCTATAGTGAATAGTGCATATAAAACACACACGCTCTGAAAACTGAATGACAGTTTGTGTGACCACAGTATGATGCTCTGAGGCAGTTTCCACAAAACAAGCTTTGTGTCATGACATTTTAAAGTTTTCGCAATTATGCTGACAAAGATGCAATCAAACACACACACACACACACACACACACATATAACTCATTTCACTATTATAAAGCTGGGGGAAAACATGGGGGAAATATGTTTAAACAGAATGACAATAATAAGCATTCTAAACATAGAAATGATTTACACAGTTGACTGTGGTTCAATAATAAAATAAAGCAATGCAAGAAAGGATATCGCCTGCAGTGGTAAATATTAAAACACATAGAGACAAGCAAAACATCAAGTAGTACACAATAAAATAAACAGAGATAGAATTTGACTGCTGAAGAGTACCAAAATGAGCAAAAGCGAAGAAGAGACATCTTTAGAAGTATAACTGAACATACAAGTGTCATGGGATGTTTCACCACAAACTGTGCGTTGAGCTGTAAACATTTAATGCTCAGTGGCAAAGGTCTCCCCTGGTGTGGTGACCATGACACAAAAATCCTGAGAAACAAGATTCTTCCAGTAACAAGTCACACTGAGAAATTACATATTCTATATTTTCATCTAATCTAATATTACATATATTTCAAACATTTCAAGGTGTTCCCACATTTACTCACAAATAAGGTGGGGGATGAGTGTTTACAAGGGTGTCACACAGGATGATTGGAAACAGCACGGTGAGGTCCGGGAAAGCTGTTACTCTGAGGGTCGCCTATGGGACACAAGAAAACGAGACACGCAGATTTGAATTTCATCATGAGGCTGTTTTAAAGAACCGGTTGATAATCCAAATTCTGATCCATGGAAAATCAAAACAGATTTAAAGCAGCAAATTAAAGCTCTCTGAACTAGTGAGTGTTTTTTTCCACCATCTTAAAGCTCTGCACCATCAGACCATCAGTCTGTCGTTGGTACCAACCTCAATAAAGTATTCCACTTCCAGGATGCTGCAGTTAGAGATGGTGAGCGTTGCAGACGATGGAATAGTGAGTATGATCTCAGTGTGCACGTCAGAGGTGTGAGCGCTGATGGGCTGTCCAGTCACTGACGCAAAGTTTTTGAAAATCATTCTCTTGTGGGCCTTGTTGTGGGTGTAGAAACCCTGTTTCTGCTGCAGTCTCACCTTTGGAGTAGCTGTTCGAGATGAAGCATTGCTAAAGTCGCAAACTATTTTCACACTTTCACCTGGAGGAAGCACATACACAGTGTTTGGATGTGGTTATTTCAATAAAAAATGCTAACGCTTCACTATTATGATTATTTCATTATGCACATGGGTGGATGGATAGATGGATGGATGGATGGATGGATGGATGTAGTACCAGGGATGAAGGCTTTCTTCTCTATACTGACTGTCATTGTGATGGGGCCTGAGGCACACCACAGGCAGCACAGTGTCATGTTGTTGGAGCCTGAGAGAGGGGCCTGAAGAAAAACAACGCTGTGACAGTGGTGCAGCAGTTGAAATGTAATCAGTTTGTTTCTTATCTCACCGAAAAGCTGTTAAAGCACAAAGTCTTGCCTGAACAATGCAGGTAACTGCCCCAGGGCTCAGGTTCTCCAGGTTTACTGTTGCTTTGTTACAAATCCATACTACCTACTAACTATCCACAGTATTCAGGATACCAATATTTATAATATACAAGAAATTAACATACTATACTAACTGCTATACTATCAGGGAATGATGCAACACATGCATCAGTGGACATCAATGAAACTGCACCTTTATAATACTACTGGTAAACTTTACACATTCAAGCAAAATGGATAAAGTACCACTTTCAGTTCCTTTGTGCATTGTATTGTGGAACAATAATGTCCATAAACAATACAACCAATGAGCCTTGTAATGAAAAAGTTCCCTTTCACTTACCCACAGCTCTGGCTGGTTGGTATCAACGCAGTTCACAAAGTTCAACTCTGTCACAAAGTCCTTGGACATACGCCAGGGTCTGTTGAAGCCCACTGTCAAGGTGTAGACGATTTTCCCGTGAACCCCACGGAAGGCGGATGGGAAGTCCCTGCATCGATGCAAAATAATTAAGTTTGTGGAAATGATAAGATGCTGATGCAACCTGGAGACAAGACACAAAACTTTTTGCAAAGAGATTAAGATGAAGATTCAACAAACTCAGATTCATCCAAAGACCCAGCGATCACGTGGTAGTGAACAATTTTGGGATACCCTGGATTTAGTTAACAGTCTTGCTTTAAGTTCATGATAATCCGTGCACATCAATATATCTTTATCTAAAGTAGGCTACAGTGTGAACACTGAACAGAAACAAGAAAACAAAGCGACTTAGGCTTTGTTCAGACTGCCAGCCCAAATTCGTTTTTGTCATATGCGGATTAGATCCAGATTCATTTTACAAAGTCTGGACAACAAAAAACAAAAAACACTAATAAACCTAATTCCAATCGGATTTCAGTCTCAGTCCACACCGTCCAGCTCTGGCCGCTCAAATCGGATTTCAGTGTCTTTTGCATCATTTAGGCGACACACAATGCCAAATCCAGAGAGATGTGCTTTGGAGCAGCTAGATACTTTTTTATTTCCACGCAACAATGTTGGTGGTAATTGCATACCATACATCCATGGAGCTGCTGAGGAGAATCCTGCGCGCGATCAAGTCGCGTTGCAGAAGCATGTACGCTACGTCGCTGAGTTTCTCTGTCTGACTTGACAGCGTGATTGTTTGGAGGGCGTGCTCCCGTGTCACGAGCCTACCTTAAGCTTTAAGATTAATTGACAAGTCTTTACCACAGCAACTCATGCAGATAACTTAGTGATGTATTGGCACACACATCCAATCAGATCACTTCCAAATAAAAGTGCAGCTGTCTTAAAGATGTGACTTGACGAATGTGATTTGCCTGCAGTCTGAACAAAAAGCATCCGATATGTAAACTACTCATACACACCCCTGTGGGAGCTGACATGTAAATGGATAGACATGCGTGCCAGGCTGAAATTTTGTTGTCCCACCAGTAGCTGCAAGGGAAAGACAAACTGAGTAACTATTGAACAACGACTGATTGTTTGCAGTTTATCCAAACGGCCTCACTGAGTGCACACCGCTGTTTTCTTGCACGATGGCGCTTTTGAAGTTAAAGAAGTCCAGTTTTTCCGAATAGTGGACTCGCCGTCTTCTCCTCCCTCCTCCTCCTACATCAGCGGACCAGTGGACACTCGCCCTTCCTGTCAGTGCCATCGTTATTGAAGTGATATTCGTCTCCTTTGCGAGGTCGAAGGAGATGTGTCCTGTTATTATGTCGCCACTGGAGAATGTATTCCTGTCATTTACGACGCTGAAACTGATTTTGAAATTCTTTACCGTCGGCTGAAACATCGTTGAGAGAAAAAAATCTTATCAAAATTAAATATTCTAATTTTAGAAAAAGTTTCCTTGGTTAATGCAAAGGGACACGATATCACCTATTTAAGTGTTAAATGGCAACAACGCCGTGCCCCAAACAGCAGCAACTATTAAGCGCGTTCAGCTGACTGCGCAGGCGCAAAACAAAGCCGGAGACCCAACCTTGATTTCAGGAGGAGCCAGGGCCCCAAGTCCAGCATCTGCTAGAATGAAACACGGGACTCTTGAAGTTACAAACAAGACGATCGCAAAACGATTTAAGTTGTCTGATATTAAACACTTCATAGTAAAACTCACTCTGTACTGATACTTTTCAGTATAATACAAGATGCTTCAAAATCAACAAAGAGGTGTAATTGTAAACACGCACTGAAAAGCAAATCAGTTATGATTTAATTATAAAACTCTGCTGATTCATTTAATATATAATAGAATGTAGAAGATCAAATTAATTAATCTCTTTGTAATGTATAAGAGTTGATTGTGGTTGTGAATAATTTGTGTAACTTTTTTTTGGAATGTGATTAATTTATCATGTGGGTGACCAAGATGTTTATGTAAAGGTTAGTAATCTAATTTAGTTTCTCCTAAAAGAAGGGTTGCTGTGTCTTATAGCCAGTTTTCCTTTTTTGTCAAATGAAAACTTCGTTTGACTGCCTGCAACGTCTGACAAACGTTTTACACGTAACTGGACAAATCCCTGATTCAGAAATGAGTTACATTACAAATTGTATTTCACCTTAAACCTTGTTACTAAAAACTCCTTCATGTTCTCAGCAGGTCAGGTACCTTAGAGGTTAGGCTGACCTGCAAACAGATTTTTTCTTTTTGCAGTTCATCTAATCTCTCTACTCATTGTAAGATTGTGTCTAGTTTGTAAGTTTGTTGTACTGTAATAGGCTGTGTGTGATCTGCTCCGCAGGGTACACATCTGATGACATGATGAACATGATTTGCTTTTTGCTTCCTTTCTGCATCTCTTATAAAAAAAAGAGTCCTGATGTTCTGGCCTGAGGGTACAATAAGAGCCTAGTGTGTTTCTAAATTTCTGGATCATTTTATCTCAATGCTAGTACATTTGTCTTTGAAAAATCTGGTAGATTTGGAACTGTGGTCTTTTGAATGGGTTGTTTTTACCCAGTAAACATTTCAAACATGATCCGCTAATCACTATTCGCTGTGTCAGAAATCCCCACTCATTCACTATATAGTGGACTATATAGTGTGCTCGCCATTTTGTAGTGCTGTCCGAATGTATAGTGAGAGTTATTAAACCCTACATAGTCCACTCAGTGTATTCCAGAATGCATTTTGAAAAGTAATGTACAACCGATGGTCAATAACCTTAAGCCCTACATAGCATCATGCATTGTGCTGATAGAATAAAATATCCGAAAGTGTTGTTTTAATAATGCCAGTGAGCTCACTACATAGTGCTCTACATACAGCTCCCTACATATGGGGTAGGGAGTAATGAATGAGTGGGGATTTCGGACACAGATATTGTAGGCTATCCCACAACAGAACTTTGAAAGTACACCATTAGCATAAAAGTTGTTCAAAGACTTTGTCGGCATATTTTCATATTTCACAAGTACCCACGCGGTGTGTATGGCTTTAAATGACCGTGATCAAAATGTATGGCCTATAGTGAAGTGAGACAGTGAATTTCTGAAAGCTCCTCATGCTATAGGCTCACTGAAACAATCATTTAAAGATCTTGCTCAAAAGCTATTACTGCTGTAAAAGCAATAGAAATCTGTATTAGTGTTGCTGAATTCAACAGACATGGTTTTATCCAAATTGCTGTCTATTGGGCCCTGCAATAAGCCAGGACAATGGATTTTAATTTACTTGTGAAAATGTGTTGTTGTGGTTTAAGAAATGGGTGTTGTTTTGTTTGTTTGCTAAAAGAGTTACAAAGAAACATTATTTTGCCTCTACACCTCTGTCTAGAAGGATCAATGCATGGCAGTTGTGGTTTTATTTGCCCAGGTATTGAGATATCCGCCTTTCAGGCTTGTATCACCACATCAATACAATGGAGGTGAATAAAATGGAAATACATTTAAAAACAGAAATTTTTCTTTCAAAAATAATATTCCTGTTATTGTGGATAATCCACATGACCATAGCAACTCTTTTGTAGACCTCACTTTGTCCAGTGAGGTCTGAGAATGGTTTCATTGTTTCAGCATTTGTTTCAGTGAGTACCACAAACAAATTCCATTAATTTACACTGTATTGTCATCACAAGGAAGAGGCATGCCTTGGTTTCACTAGGGTAGGTGAGAAAATATGTCTTTTTGTAATTTGGGTGAACTGACCCTGTAACTGTTTAACCACTAGATGGCACTAAATACTTTATTCTAACGCTCACTGTGCATCATCCCATATGAACCATGACTACAGAACTTGCTAATAATACATCCTCATTTCACACCCAAATGTCATATTTCTTTCAGAAGTACTCTTGGAATAAGCTCCACAGTGGTATTTTAAACATAATGTTTTGTAATGCGTCAATAACAAGTGGTTTAACTACCCTTTGATAGGTTTATGGTACACAATGCAGCCATAAAATGCAGATAACGACCCATTAACACCGACAGCACAAGGCATATAAAAACTCCTGGCACAAGTTAACTTGACCACATATCTTTTCATACCTGCCGTCTTGGTCTATTTGAGAAGGATATAGACCTGCCAGCAGTTTCCTTTCAAGTATGAGATTTTCTTTGGAGTATAGTGAGGCTCAACATACTGTAGTACAAAGTACTTGAGAGATTGTGTTTGGGCTGTAACAGATGTATGGAAGCCATTCATCGCTTACCAGACATTTGACATTGCTTTGACACTACTGTTTGTTAAAACATATTTAATTCACAGACAGCTGTTACAGGATGGAAGTCTGTTAAACGGTTACCCATACAATGTCTTACAATATCCACTGCCAAAAGATGGACAGCACTGTCAGTGGTACACGTTTTTAGAAGGAAGTTATTTAGGAGCTATTTCCATGATACCAAACTTAAAGTACACCCCCCACCCCTCTTGTTTTATGATTGAATTTCTATTTGCTAAGTGTTTATATTAGGACTTTATCAAGACAAGTTTGTGATATTTACATCAGAATCTTGATGTAGCCCTTCAAACATATTATAAAACAGGAAGAGCTCATGAGCAGAGGCCGCTTCAGTCAACAAACTTTAATCATCATCATCTAATTGTCCATTGGCTTCTCAAAGACTTAACATTCAGGCTTATAAGCAGTGGAAATAATTTATTGTTGCACTCTGATGTCATTAAGGATTACTCATAAGTTTATCTTATTGATGAGCTGTCACATAAAGCGCAGGTACACCTTGCTTCACTAGCTTTTATTCACTTTTCTTCGTGAAAATTAAGCAAGAGTGAGGAAAATGAAACAATTAACAAATAGAAATTATACATAGTTAATTTTCTGTCAAAGAACAGACGTCTGACTCAAATTCCTGAGCTTAATGTTATAGTGTGAGATTATTAGTGAATCTCTTTTGTGCTGTGACAACATTCACTTCTGAGAAGTAATGCGTTGTATGTAAAATGTAGAATGTATTATGTATAGATGAGTGTTCATTCATGTTCAGTCTTTGTAACATGATCTTTTGATGCGGATCTACATGTTGGACATTAACTTGTGTGTGCACGTGTGTGTGTGTGTGTGTATCTTTGAGTACAGTGACACACATGGCCATTTATAATAGGTTTTGGCTTTAGCTGTATCTGATGAGGGCACCTATCAGGTTTAGTTGAGCTCACGGTGAGTTTACTTTGCCTGCCAACTTGGTAAACCAACCACATACAGTATGACAGCTGCACACACACACACACACGCATCTCCATCCATCTCTTTATCTCACAGATATCACATCACGTTGTTAATTGGATCATCCAGACAACAGCAGTAGGTACTTTGATCTAGCCGTGTCCAGTACTGGCAGAGTTACATCTAGATGAAAACTTTTTTCTTATTTTTGTTTGTCTTGGTTCATTTAATTTTTAAAGCTTATGTTGTTTTGACTTTGTATCTTGTTTGGATCTCTATAATAGCCATCATCAGCTAACGTAACAAGGCAGCCGGCGTGTGCAACAAACAAGCTAATATTCAATATTGCTCTCTTCAATCTTTGAGTAAGAACTTATATTTTCACTTTGACACCCAGTTAAAACCCTATTGTTTGTTGTATAGGAATAGAGTAGACATTTCAGCTTATCAGTTCTAAATCCAAAGTGAAGTAAAAGAACCCAGAGGATAAGCCGTGTTATTGATCTGTAGTTTCTACACACCGCCTCTCTCTAGTTAATCCACAGGGTCAGCTCTAATGACATTGAGGAGCTCTTCTGGCAGTCGGCACTGCTGCCATTTGCAATTTAGATAGAGGGAAAGGAGACGAGGAGGAGGAAGTGTATGAGGGTGAAAAAAATGAGCGAAAGTAAAAAAGAAGGGAAAAAAGAGATGATGGATAAAAGGAAAAGACAGGGGAAGAGAGACAGCGAGCGGATTGGGTCGATTTGAATGACAGAAAGTAAGAATTTTAGCAAGATACTCTGCTGACTGGATTATGCCACACAATAAATGTTCTCAATGAATACATTTGGCAACTTTTGTGTAATACATGAAGGAATTATGTAACCTTTTTAGACATTATTTGCTTGAAGTTACCACCAGGAACCTATTAGTTTAGTATGGCATAATGACTGTAAGCAAGGGGAAACACTTAGCCTGGCTCTGTCCAAAGGTACCTCTTAACCTCCCTAATAATATGTTATATCATTTTTGTTCAATCCATACCAAAACTAAAATGCAAAAACAACAATATGTCGTTTCACAGGGGTTATATGCTGGACTATTTCTTGGCCAGGAGCAGTGACTTGGTGACAACAAGAATTTAGGATATAGTCCTGCACATTACTCCCCATAAAAAAGGTGAATTATTAGTTTTACACTTCAGATTTTTTATTTAAAAAGATCGAGATAACTTGCTTATTAGTGAGCTTTAGAGGTGCTGGGAGGAGGATTTTGATACCGAGCCAGGCGAGATGTTCCCCCGTTTCCAGTCTTTAGGCTAAGATTTGCAGGAACCTTGATGTCTCACTGATGTAAGTTTCAGAATGAAGCAT